AGCTGCACCGTCCGAAGCTCCGGCAGAGGAAGCTGCAGCCTCATGGAAGATCATGAAAGTTTCTTTTGAAGAAGGGGTCCTGAGTTGCGAGGACACTAGGACAGGTGCCAGAACATCGCTGCGGTCAGCGAGTTTTCTGTGATGTTCATACATGTTCCTCAGTGCTGTGCTGTATGGATGTTGGTGGACGATGCCCTTGGTAGAAAAGACGGCGGACGATTTCTTGCCGCCTCTTTCACTAGACGATTCAAGTGAGCTCTGTATGGCCCGACACGCTAAAGGCTTTCTGACTGGAGACGGGTCTCGGATTGAATCACGCCTTCGACCACCATTTTGTTCTTTGCATTTCTCTGCTGTCAGGTAGCAGCAGCTGAAGCTCAGAAGGCGGAGGCGGCATACCGCAGTCTGTGGCAGGGATGCTCGTGTGTTGTTAGCAACTGCTAGTAGCACATGTAGTTGTGTGCCAGTAGCACATTTTTCAAAGCGAGCTTTGGATCACAGATGCGTGTGGACGAAGCTTCGTGAGGCGACATCGTCAGGTCCGTCCGACGAGGCACCACCACACGGGGTCTTGGGTAGTCGCAGTCGCAGTGGCGCTTGCGTTTGAAGCTGACTACACGGAACTTGCGGGCTTGATGCAGTTGCCCCGCCCTTGGCATGCTTGCCGTTGTAAACATCCCTCAATCCGTCAGGAGTGTCCGGCTGGGTCCTGTCGCATGGTTGTTCATGCCAAGACAAGACGAGACGCGCGCCGACAAGTAGCAGGCAGCCACCGCCAAAGCTGCAGCAGAGAATGCGCCAGCGTCATAGGGCAGCCTCGTAGAACGGAGAGCCCAATACCCCTTAATTAAGGAATATACCTCAAATTATAGGCGCCTTAAGATTATGATTTAAGGTATATTTCTTAGTGGAGGGGTATTGGGCTCTCTGGGTAGAACAGGTGTGCGGGCCAGATCCAAGCAAAAGATTGAGCGCGGTCAACAAATCTATGCGAGCGCGTCGGGCCTCACAGATGTTCGTGGACGACCTCCCTGTTGGCCAGAATTCGCACAGATGTTTCTGCAATCTCGTGAGGACTCATCGTCGCAGCCATCGGGCGAGGCAGAGCCACCGCGACAGCTGGGGGGCGTGAGCTTTGGGTCTGCTGGTAGCACCAACCAGGTGCATTCGTGAGAGTCTTGTCTGCTGCGGCATCGGAAAATTCCCGCTAAAGCTTGAGCCCGACACTTTAAAGCCCTGAAAACAGCCCGAACTTCACAGGTCTTAAAACCCTGAGCAACTAAAGCCCTATTATACTCTACCACACTATAAGTATACTATTACACTATACAATTCTACACCACGCTATACTATGCTATACTATAGTATACTATACTATACTACACCACGCTATGCTATGCTACACAATACAATACTATACTATAGTATGCTATATTCCCTCAACCTCAGCAGAGGCAGACGCGGCTGCGGCATCAGCATCGGAGGTCGTCCCCCCTGTCACGGCTGTAGGGGGTCTTGGGGTTCAGGCAATTCGGGTTTAGGGTTTAGGGGTTTAGGGGAAAGCCTGTTGCAATTCGGGTTTAGGGTTTAGGGGTATTCGGGAAGCCAAAGTCGCTCCACAACTTCTTCTGAGTTATAGCGACGATCTGAAAGTACACATCGTAATACATCGTAACCAATCTTCACCGCTTGCTCACCTTATCATCACAAATTATGTCGCCATTGTGTTTCCTCAATACGATTGCGGTTGTCACGGCCCTTGCTTGTTGCAAGTGCTTTGCTATGATCGTTATAGCTATACTGTTCTTTTAGTATTTGCTCTGGTCATTTCTCTACTAGTTGATGTTACTGCTGCTGTTATTGTCACATTCGCATGATCTGACGACGGTGACGACTACTTCTACGACTGCTACGACTGCTGCTGCTGCAACTCCTATTCCTCAAGGGGTACCTACTACGACGGTAGCGAAGTCCATTGCTTAGGGGCAGCCCTTCCTGGGCATACTGATAACGGTGCCCAAGATCTTGGTCAAAGTAGGCTTCGCTTACTGACACTTGCAAGCCGTCGAGATGCAGAGTTGATGAGTCCTCGTTCTGGGACATGTAGTGAATTTCCGAAATATATTGAAACACTTGATGTGGAGCTGTGAATGTCCAGAGAGTTACATAAGAGTTAAAGGGTTTGGGCAGTTCCGGAGGGAGGTCGTAAAGACTTCACGCTTGTCTCCTATCCTCCCGAGGAACATTTGCATGTCGTGGTCGTCGTTGATGGCGAGGCAGCCGTGGGCATCCCAAAGGCGAAAGTTCGACAGCCGGCTCTTTTGCTGGACGCAAATTTGTCCCTAAACCCCAAAAACCCTGGCCCAGTGAACAGAGCCTCGTTTCAAAGGAGGCTTGCTGTGGAGAGCAAAAGCCACCCCAGAAACCTCGAACTCGATCTTCTTGTGCCTAGGCCCTAGACCTAGCCTAAAACCCGACAGCAGACGAAAGAAGCCCGAGATCCTGAAACAGGCAGGCGGCCAAGAGGACGCCGACCAAGAGGACGCAGAGGACTCCGGTTCTCTTGGAGGCGGCCGCCACCTAACACTCTAATAGGCATAGTAGCATTGGCTGGGATTGCGACTGCGAGAATTGCAACCCCCACCACCACCTGCTAAAGCTCCTGCTTTTGCCACTCGGTCTTGCATTGCTAGCAAAAATAGCCATGCAGTGTAGAGAGAGTTATTTGATCACGACATCTACAAAACGCCTGGTCCTTAGTTAAAATGCCTAAAGGCTCTTAAGGACGAAATTGAAAGGTTCTAGGGTATTCTTAAAAGTTTGCAAGTTTTTGGCTCCAAGACTGGGTTTTCTTAAGCTTTTCAGGGTTCTGAGGAGTTCTTCATGCATAAAGGCTCTGGCAAGGCAGAGGCATGGGTCATCCTGCCTAGGCAGCGCTACCCTAACCTGATCGCAAAGCCTTCGGTGCTGTGCCCCAATCGCCAATCCCCAAACAAAAGACCACATGCCTCGCCTGGATGGTCCGAGTGTGAGCGTCGAAACCTTTTGGGTTGGCTAAGAAAAAGAGGGTTGAACAAAAAAATGGCCATTGCAGGGCTCATCGGGCGGCATCTCCACAAAAGTAATGACCTCCCACCAGCCTCCTGGCGGCATGCCCCGGGCCCAGAGGGTTGTGACATGGGTCCATGAGGGACTGGAGGGTTCAAGGAAGGGAAGGGCTTGGAGCGCAAGGCCAGGACCCCATTCCATGTCCTTTCCCATGTTCAGTCGTGTCACAGCCAGCGCTGCCTTTGGTCTAGAAGGCTTCCACGCCTCACAAGTGTTGATTGTGCGTGCTGAAAACGAGAGTGTTGCTCGCTTCCATGGCGTAATGCTTTTGGCATTAGCTGAAGACGGACGTCATCTTGTCAGTTGTCATCATGGCGGAAAATTTTTGCTGGATGTACCAACCCCCCTTGGTTTGGAAAAGCCATCTGTCGCTGGCAGACCCGCAAGCTGGCAGATCTTGTTCCATGAAGTCATAGGCTGAAGAAGGCTTAGCATAAGGCCTACGAAGGGATTGAGGGTCTTCTGAGTGCTGGGCCATGGCGGTGCGGGCATTCCCTCCGTGGCCTTTGGATGGCTGCCTGGAACCCGACAAAACCGCTCTGCTGGCCATCGATATGCAAATCGACTTTTGTGGCAAGGGGGGCTACGTTGACAGCATGGGCTACGACATCTCGATGACGCGAGCCCCTATCGAGCCCTTGAAGGTGGTGTTTCAAGCCCTCCGGCAGAAGGGCTATCACATCATCCACACACGCGAAGGCCACAAGCCCTCGCTTGCTGACTGCCCCGACAACAAGCGATGGCGCTCCCGGCAGATTGGAGCTGGGATTGGCGATCCCGGGCCCTGCGGCCGCGTCCTCGTGCGGGGCGAGCCTGGCTGGAATCTCATTGAGGACGGGACATAGGTTTTTTTCAAAAACAACCTAAACCTATGGTTTAAAAAAAACCTATGCTTGTTTTTAAGAAGACCCCCGAAGTCAATGTAGGGCGCCTGGATAGTTATGACATGTCCTCGGCATTCTTAGTACGTTTAGCGTTTTATATGTGCAGTGCAGTATCAGGTAGTTTAACGGTGATCGCGAGTTCTTTCCAAAATCGTAGATGTTGTGTCGATGAAGACCCTGTGCTGCTCGTGTTACAGCTCTTGCAGTACTGCTGCTAAAGCCATGGCTCCTACTACGACGACAACGAATGCCGCTGTTGCTACTCCTAGTACTGTTCAACAGCTACTACACCGTTCTGCTACCAGTCTGATGCCACTGCTACTGCAACCGTTGCAACAACTACGACGACGACGCTGTTTCCACTCCATTACGACAGGTCCAACCCCTGCTCCTTCTGCTCGTGATAGAACGTACCCCCGCCACCGCCACCGCCACCATCATCACTATCTGCTACGGCTACTTTTTCTTGTGCTGATGACGCTGCTGCACCCCCCAACGACGGCGACAACTCGTGCGACGACTGCCACGACGACGACAACTAGTTACGCCCATGTTCTGTTCGTTGTACTTACTATTTGAACATTTGGGTAGTTTTCTAAATTAGAGTCCCTTTTTGGGTCCCCAATATATAGTACGGCACCCTTATAAAACGGACTACCAAAAGGGAACCTAATTTAGAGAACTACGCATTGGTTCGTGTGTCTGCTTGTTTGCCATTGCCTTTCCGACGGGCTGATGGGTAATGGGCCTTGTTCAACAGTTCGTTTTGCATATCAGCCATGGCTCATGCTATCAATGCCGTCAATATGGGGGTTTCCGAAAATAGGGGACCCTCATATAGTACCTTAAACTTATTATAAGGACCCCCAAAATAAGGTACCCTGGCAGGAGCTGCAACCCGCAGAGGGCGAAGAGGTGCTGGACAAGCCCGGCAAAGGTTCCTTCGTAGCAACCGACCTCCACCTCATCCTTCAAAAGAAGCTGCTCGGGGGCACCAGAAAGGGCTGCTTCTACCACGACGGAGTGTGGCCTGCGATTTCAAGCGCCACTGCTAGTAGCGGAGTGGCGTTTCTCGGGTCAGAGTTTTGACCCGTCGTGGTGAGGGCATGTGGGTTCGAAGGTTTTGGATATTTTTTTGGCAGTTTGAACCTGAGGAGGATCAAGAAGCTGATTTTCGCAGGCATCACGACGGACGTGTGCCTGAGCACCACCATGCGCGAAGCCAACGACCTTGGCTATGACTGCCTGCTGCTCTCCGACTGCACAGCTGCGACAGATTACGGAAACTACCTGGCAACTGGGTTCTTGTTCATGGTGTTTTAATTCAAGTTACCATAATACCGAAACCCTATTTTTACTATAGATCCCTATTATGTTAATATACACTAAAATTTTATTCTTAGACTATGTAGATCCCGAAGCACTAAGTTCCTTAAGGCAAGAGCCCAGGCAACGCTGAAGACCACACAAGCATACGGAGGCGCTTTTGGCTCCGTAGCTTCGGCTGCAGACCTCTTGCGAGGCATAGGCTTCGACTGTCCTGAGGCCCTGGAGAGAAGCTTTAGGTTTAGGGTTTAAGGTTTAGGGTTTAGGGTATTAAAGTTTAGGGTTTATAGGGTTTAGGGTTGTCCTGAGGCCCTGGAGAGGAACCTTGTGGAGGTGAACCTCGGCAACGGTATCAAAGTCCGAATGCCACAGCCCCCAAGTGGCCTTGGGATGCCGAAGACTGTTTCTGACGTCATCGTTGCTCCAAAGGCCTCCGTGTCGAAAGGAGCCGTTGCTGCCGACCCCTATGCATGGCCTTTTGACGGTTGCATTCAGCCCGCCAAGACAGCACTCTTGGCCACTTGGATCTCCAGCACTTTCCCGTGTTTTGCTGCGTCTAAGCCCTGAGAACGAGGTGTGAGGCGAAAGGACTCTCAAGAGACCCACAAAGCCTGACCCCCAGGCACCCAGCCCACCCCGAAACCCAAGGAAGGACCGAACCAGACCCCTGGAGCCCTAAAGCCGGAGCTCCCCCATCAAAGCTCCCCCTTTTGGGGCCCTACCCCATGCCCATAAAACAAATCTGAAGTCAGGCCATGAACTTCCAGCCAGACTTCCTGGCTGCCGAGGGCGGGATGCCCTCTGCCGGGTACAAGATCGACTCCGGGGTCCGGGTGCTGGAGACCTGCGCGTGCGTTCAATGTGTTTCTTTTTTGGGGGGGAAGGGGAGGGGAGGGGAGGGGGGGTTCGTAGGGCTCAAGGCCAGGATCGTGGTTTCGAGGAAGATGAGGAAAGGGGAGCAAGGGTGGACTAGAGCTACGGGTTTTATCTAGGGCACCATCATCCACCATCATGTTCCACCATCTATCCTCTCCCGTGGCGGAGGCGAGGCATACGTGAGAGTACGCAGGTTTCGACTGAGCTGCCGCAATCCAATCCAAGGAGACCTCTGCCAAAGTCCTGCGCCACATGCGCGATGCTGGCTTTCGCATCGTGCATGCGAGGCTTGGTTTTGCCCGGAACCTGGTCCAAGATTGCAGCCAAGTTCTGTTCTCGTGTTTAGTCCGGGGTGTGAACGAGCAGGTGGTGCTTGCTATAGCCCATGGCACTCTGCCAAACTTGGATCCGGCCTGCCTGACGCCCGAAGCCTAAAGTCCTCAAGCCTAAATTACTGAACCACCAAGCTCCTGAACCCAAAACCCTAAACCCTAAACTCCTTAAGCCCAAAACCCTAATCCCCTAAACCTTAACCCCAAACCCCAAACCTTAGACCTTAAACCCAAAAGTCGAAACCCTCAATCCAAAACTCCTTAAACCCAAACCCCTAAACCCTAAACCCTATTGTACCCTGCAGTGCCTACTCGTCCTAGCAAGGAGGGTAAACCCTAAACCCTTTGAAGCAGCCCGAAAGCCCGAAACCCCGAAGCACCCGAGAGCCGAGGAACCTCTCTGACTGCCCCCAGCGCGGGAAGCGCTTCCCGGCGGGGGCCCAGGGTCCGCTGGGCCAATGCCTCGTCCGGGGCGACGCTTTGGGAAGAGCAGAGATGGGTTTAGGGTTGAGGGGTTTAGGGTTTAGGGTTTAGGGTTTAGGGGCTTTGCTTTGAGGTTGGGTGGAGTTAGGATTCCGGGGTTTGGGATCACGGGCACGGGTTCAGGGGCATTGTGGCTTAAGGGGCTGGGGTTGCCTGCGTTTAACGTCTGGAGTCGACGAGTCGAATCTATTTCAGGTCCCACAGGACGAGTTTCTTCTTCTCTCGTGCCTAATGGGGGTTGTGGGTTCAAGGCCATTGTCGACGCAGGCGGAAGTGTTCATCTTAAATGGTCTGGACTTGTCCGGAAGCCTGGAACCCGAACGGCGAAACATACGCTACGGCGGTTCCCCAAAGGGATGCCCAGATCTTGCATAGCTGAGTGCCAGACTTCGACATATCCACATCTAGAAACCGACGAAATTTGAGCAGGATTGTGCATGGCATGTGAATGTCCAGGCCATGGTAGGCAAAGACACAGGCAGAAGCTCTACTGCATTGGCTCAGGAGAAGGGCTGGGAGTTCCTACCGGAGTTCACCCCCCTCCCCGACGAGCTCGTGATCGAGAAGTGTGGGCACGGCGCCTTTCACTTGACTTCGTTGGAGCTCGGCTTACAGTCCCTGGGGGTGACTCACCTTGTGGTGATGGGGGTGCCGACCGACGTCTGCGTGCACACCACCCTGCGGCAGGCGAACGATCGTGGCTTCGAGTGTTTGTTGCTCTCCGACTGCACAGGAACGACGGCCCAGGACACCCAGCTCTCTGCCCTAAAGCAGGTGGGGACTTTCCGAAAATTGGGGGTACCTTATTTGGGGGTCCTTATAATAAGGATCCTACTCTTGAGGGTGCTATATTAGGGTCCCCCCTATCTTCGGAAACCCCCAGGTGAAGATGCAACACGGCGTCTTCGGGGCCGTGGCGACGAGCGAGGCACTGCTGACGGCCGTCTCGCAGCTGGACACGGCCCAGCCTTCCAAGCGCCTAAGGGTTTAGGGTTCAGGGTTTAGGGCTTAGGGTTTAGGGTTTAGGGTTTAGTGTACGAGGCCTGCTGTAAAAGGGTTTAGTGTTTAGGCAGCTAACCAGTAGTTGAGTAGTGTTGTCCCCCATGTATGGCCATGTAGTTGTGCTCCCAAACCCAACTGAAATCATGAAGGCCCTTTATTAACCTTTGCCAAACCCATGAAGACCTTGCAATAATATATGTCACAACTGTGACAGCCCTCATCTTGAACCCTTTTGAAATTTTTCAAACCTGCAAAAAGGCCTATGAAACCCTTCTAGGCACCGACAGAACCCTTATTCGGCTGTGAAAAGGAGTTGCGAAAAACCTGGCAGCTGAGGGGTTGGAGTGCTCTTGGGTGTGAAGGTTCTTCGAGGTTGAGGGTTTAGGGTTCCTTTACGGGATCCTTGACAGGGTCTATTGTTGTGCTTGCATATAGTTCACAATGCATATACTATATCAAACGGTAGCCTCATACGATTAAATTATAGTCATATATAGTCTAATTGAAGATGGCATACCCTGATTTGGAGACCTTGCAGTCCCGAGCATCGCCAGTACGTCGCCCGAGTTCCTCACAAAGTTGCTCTGCAACTTCCAGTCCTTCCGAGGAAATCGAGGCCAAAGCTTCCAAAGTCACTGCTTTACTTTTTTGGTCCCTTTAGGGACCACGGCTCCCAAATTTCAAGAAGCCCTCAAACCCAAACAGTCCCTAAGGTCCTAAACACTTTCTCACGCCCCAGAGGCTGCAGGCCTTTCAGGCATTGCGGCAGCAGCAAAACCCCCGGAAGCCTGGACCCCAAAACCCGAAAGCCGGGATCCCAAAACCCCTAAACCAAAACCCCTAAACCCTGAAGCCCTAAACCCTAAACTCTAAACCCTAAACCCCAACCGACTTCGCACCATGAACCTCGCCTGGCTTGTCCGAGTTGTGAGAGCGTAAACCCTAACCGCTAATCCCTAAACCCAAAACCCCTAAACCCCAAACCCCTAAACCCTAAACCCCTAAAGCCCTGAAACTTTGGGTGTTTCCGAGGCCGGAGAGTGGGTCGACCTGGAGTTCGAGAGGGCGGGGATACCCTCCGAGGACCGGAGAGCCAGACCTGTGTGCTGAACCTTCGATTTTTTACTGTTATTGCTCTTGTTACTATTATAATAACAGTAGTAATAGCAGTAATAATGGTAATAATAGTAGTAATATTGCGTACTGTAAGGGTTAGTATGAGGGTTGCTAGGCTTCTGGGGCCATTATAGAGGGTCGAAACAAAGTCGGATCGGTGTGGCTGTGATTAGAGTATTTTATACCACAACACCCTATTCCTCTAGGCTTTCGAAATTGCCCGGCAGTTTGAACAGGCCTGGACGCAAAAAAGGGTTTAGGGCTTTGATAATTTAGGGTTTAGGGTGTGGAGGGCATGTTGGGTTTAGGGAATTATTGCAGAATTGGGATTGCTGAATAGGATATGTGCAAAGAAGCGTGTTTACTAAAACAGGCTTCCATGTCAAGCTTATGCAGCTCTGTTTCGTCGCTCCAAGCTTGAACAAGGTAAACGGCGATCTCTCAGGTCTTTGACACAGATCTGAGTTCCCCAAGGAACCGAATTAGACCACTTTTGCGGGAACAAAGCCACTGACCACTCTATAATCCTCTCATCGATCCAGTACAAGAGGACAGCTCTGGGTTCCCTCGGCATGTCGTTGACCGTCTTGAACCCCATCACACCTTTTCCAGCACCTTGCACAAGCGCCATGGAATGGAGTGAACACTACCCATGCCCGATTGATGCTGAGCCATGGCCGCGAAACCGTGAAAGCCGTAACCCTAAGCACATATTCTACATTATATATTATACATTATATATTAT